AAGTTGCGTTCGGATGGCTCTATAGATCGTTATAAGGCTCGTCTAGTTGTGCTTGGAAATAAGCAAGAGTATGGACTAGACTATGATGAGACGTTTGTCCCAGTCGCCAAGATGACAACTGTGCGCACTATTCTTGCTCTTGCTGCATCACAATCTTGGCAGCTACATCAAATGGATGTCAAAAACGCATTCCTTCACGGTGATCTTCAGGAGGAAGTTTACATCAAACTTCCTAATGGTATGCCTACACCTTCGCCTAATACTGTTTGCAAACTAAAACGATCTTTATATGGATTGAAACAGGCACCAAGAGTATGGTTTGAAAAGTTTCGATCGACATTACTTGGTTTTGAATTCACTCAAAGTCAGTATGATCTATCTCTTTTCCTACAAAGGACTCCTCAAGGAATTGTGGTGCTTCTCGTTTATGTGGATGACATTGTGGTAACTGGCTCCGATCAAGATGCTATCTCAAGAATCAAACACCTACTGCATTCAACTTTCCATATGAAAGAGTTAGGCCAACTCACTTATTTTTTGGGTTTAGAGGTGCATTATCATCATGAAGGCATTTTTCTAAATCAGCAAAAGTATATTCAAGACTTGGTTCAGCTAGCTGGACTCACAAATGCAACCCCTGTTGACACTCCCATAGAAGTTAATGTTAAATATAGACGAGATGAAGGTGACCTTCTAGATGATCCCACTCAATATCGCAAGCTGGTGGGAAGTCTCATCTATGTAACTATCACTCGTCCCGATATTTCTTTTGCTGTCCATACAGTAAGCAAGTTCATGCAATCTCCACGGCATTTTCATCTTTCAGCAACACAACGAATCGTTAGATATCTCCTTAGCACTCCAAAGCGTGGTTTATTTTTTCCTACTGGTTCATCAATGCAACTCCAAGCATATAGTGATGCTGATTGGGCTGGATGTCCAGACACCCGAAAATCTACTACCGGCTGGTGTATGTTTTTAGGAAATGCTCCTATTTCATGGAAATGTAAGAAACAAGATTCAGTCTCAAAGTCATCCACTGAAGCAGAATATCGCGCAATGTCTGCCGCTTGTTCTGAAATTATATGGCTGCGTGGTCTTCTTACAGAGCTTAGATTCTCTCAAGAACAACCAACTCCATTGCATGCTGACAACACCAGTGCCATACAGATTGCAGCAAACCCAGTTTACCATGAACGGACGAAACACATCGAGGTTGATTGCCACTCTATTCGAGAAGCTTATGATCGAAGAGTCATCAATCTACCACATGTCTCAACATCTGTTCAAATCGCTGACATTTTCACTAAATCCTTGACACGTCAACGACACAATTTTCTACTTGGCAAATTGATGCTTGTAGATTTACCAGCATCAATTTGAGGGGGGATGTCAACGGAATTAATGGGAATTAATGGAAAATAGAATTGTATGGGATTGATTGCACAATTATTTGTAACGGTTATTCTTTTATTTAACATAATTAGCTATAAATGTATATATGGTAGTTTAGCTAATTTATTGGGCTGAAATCAACGTTACAGCTTGTAATATTACTGTATTTATATGAGCAATCTGAATGAGAAGGACACACAGTTCTTGGCCAAATATTTTCTTAATTTGACACGGGATTGGGTGTTGGGGCCATTTTAATGCAAAATCAACGTCCTGTGGCTTATTACAGCAAGGCTTTAAGCGAGATGAATTTGGCCAAGTCTACGTATGAAAAGGAGTTGATGGCATTGGTGCTCGCCATTCAACATTGGAGACCGTATCTCATTGGGAGGCATTTCACAATTCGTACTGACCATCGAAGCTTGAAACAACTTTTACAGCAAAAAGTGTTGACAGGGAATCAACAGAACTAGGTGGCAAAGCTCCTAGGGTACAGTTTTGATATACAGTACAAGCCTGGGGCACAGAATAAAGGAGCCGATGCTCTATCACGTCTTGCAGAAGAGGGGCAATTGTTTTCCTTAGTCTATTATCCTTTTTGGATGGACATTCAGGCAGTAGTGGCAGAAGTTCACAATGATCAGAAATTGCAGAAAATCATATCTGATTTGCAGCAAGGTACAGTGATTCCTGCTGGATTTTTGTACAGAAATGGAATTTTGTTGTTTGAGGATCGATTGGTGGTATCTGATACCTCTCCGTGGATTGAAAAATTAATGAAGGAGTACCATGAAACACCTCAAGGAGGTCATTCGGGGTATTTTCGAACTTACAGGAGATTGGCTGAAAATTTGTATTGGAAAGGTATGAAAGGGTCAATACAGAAATTTGTGCGTGGTTGTGATGTGTGTCAAAGGCAGAAGTACTTGACTTCTTCCCCCGGGGGTCTTCTCCAACCCCTTCCTATACCGGATAGAGTATGGGAAGACATATCAATGGACTTCATCATTGGTTTACCACGATCCAAGGGGTATGAGGCAGTATTTGTAGTGGTGGATCGTTTGTCTAAGTATAGCCACTTTATCCCGTTAAAGCATCCTTACACAGCTCAGTCGTTAGCTGAAATTTTCACCAAGGAAGTGGTGCGTTTACATGGAGTGCCAAGCTCAATTGTGAGTGATCGTGATCCGATATTTATGAGCAACTTTTGGAAGGAATTCTTTCGTTTGCAAGGGACTAAGCTTCAAATGAGCACCGCGTATCATCCGGAAACAGATGGCCAAACGGAGGTCATTAATAGGTGCTTGGAAACGTATCTTCGTTGCTTTATAGCGGAACAGCCAAAGGGGTGGGTGAATTGGCTGTCCTGGGCTGAATATTGGTTCAACACAACATTCAACGGGTCAATTAAAATGACCCCTTTTGAAGCTGTTTACGGGCACAAAGCACCTACTCTCATTCATAGCATTAAGGGAGAGATTTGTGTTGAGGCGGTGCAAAGAGATTTGAAAGATCGAGATGAAGCATTGAAGCAATTAAAGACTCATTTAGTCAGAGCCCAAAACAGGATGAAGGCAATTGCTGATGGCAAAAGAACTGAGAGGAGCTTTGCAGTTGGGGAGTGGGTATTTTTGAAGCTTCGCCCACATCGACAACAGTCGGTAATGACGCGCATTAATCAGAAACTGGCTGCTCGTTTCTATGGTCCGTTCGAAATTTTGGAGCATGTAGGGGCTGTGGCCTATCGTCTGAAGCTACCTGAAAATGCGAAGATACACCCGGTGTTTCACGTGTCTTTACTGAAGACGGCCATTGGTAATTATCAAGCACAACCAGAATTACCTGAAGATTTGGCAGTAGATGGGTCTGCACCATTAGAACTGGAATGTCATTTAGCTTCAAGGAAGGTTGTGAAGCACAGGGAACAGATTGTGCAATGCCTAGTACAGTGGAAGGGAAAATCAAGCGAGGAGGCCACTTGGGAAGATGAATCTCAGATCCGTAGTCAATTTCCTGAATTCTGTCTTGAGGACAAGACATTTTTTGAGGAAGGTGGAATTGTTAGAGACCAACATGCATTTGGGCCTAATGAGCTGCTAGTGCAAGATAGTGGACCTGGCCCAAATCAATGGGCAGTTTATGTGAGAAAGAAAAAGAGAGGCACGGGATATGTGGGTGGAAAAGAGGGTGAGCTGGCTAGTTAGTTATGCCAAAAGAGAGAGAATCGTTTGTTATATGGGAGAATGATTTGTTTAGAGGGGTATCTTTTGCAGTTAGCCAATTTGTAAGAATGGAGAGCCTCTAAGATTCTTCAACGGAGCTAGGCTCTGAGGGTAGGGAGAGAGTCTCTCCTTGCATTTCTTCTTGTTTCAGTAATTAAATGCAATCTTCCAATATTTTTCTTCTTTCATTTGTTGCTGCTGTTCTGTGTTTTCTATTCTGATTTTTAACACTTGAACCTAACTCACTCCCAAAAACTAGCTTGTTCTTAGGAGGACTACTCAAGTCCTTATGAGGAGTACGTAGAACATCTTAACACACACCCCTCATGCTTAGGGTCAGACATTTGGTACATAAAGTTTGCAAGATTGAACATCTACGGATGGACCAATAAGATTAGACATCTATAAGCTCTGATACCATATTAAGAAACTTTGGCTTAACTTACTTCTAAAAGCTAGCTCGTAAGAGGAAGGCTTATCAAGTTCTTATAAAAAGTATTTTGTCTCTATTCTTAACTAATGTGAGACATCTTAACATAGGTATATGGTGAGAAAGTGCTCTAACCTTCTGTAGTGAGGTCCTACAATTTTTGTTCCTTTTGCTCATAATATTGGGACAACCATTGGAAGACTTATTCTATGAAGCAGGATGTAGCCATCTATTATGAACTGAAGATGAGGATTTTGGCGTCTAAGCATTGACTTGGACCAGTACCATAATCTTAAAATAGAAAGCAGAACATTGATCAATCATGTGGACTGGAAACTGGAAAGAGACCATTTTTTTTTTTAATTTCTCTCTAGTCGGAAATATGAATATGACCATACTAGGAGGTTCAGTTTTTGGGAAAAGAGCTACCTTTACTTTTGCAGAGGGAGTATTAATGTCTTCAAGTGGTCGATATAAGGAAAAGTAGGAGAGTTGGACATGTAATGGAGATGTCCTGTAGAATGGAGATCATAAACTTACTTCCCAAGTTTTCTATAACAAATTTCTACAGGAATCTGCTTATTTCAAACCTCATATCAACATATTAGACAAATGTTTGTGACAGAAATAATTATCTTCTTTATGACGATGACATACTGGACTAAGGATTGTTTATTGTCCAATAGATTCGTCCAAGTGAAGCAAAATATATATCCATTAACACATCACATGGCAAAGAAATATCACTGACTAAGAACTTTCAATTTTGATAATTAAGTTTCTAAATTAATTGTTGCCTCATTGAATTTAGGAATGTTATTAGCTCTAGATCACTGAAGCAAAGATATAAATTGAATACAGAAACTGACACAACAAATAGTCAATGGGATAAACCATAGAAACTTCATTTAAATTTATCAAAAATATCATTGCAGAAAAGAAGCATGCATTACAATTTGATCAATCTCCCAGCCATGAAGCTGCAGTGAAGGCCATAAGTCAAGCATCAGATGCGCAGCAGTTCCACCACCCTGAAGGATTTAAATGCAGTGAGATATTACTTACAAGATCACTAATATTTAGAAATTCCATCCTGTAAACTCTCCAAGACAATAAGTGCCATCTTAAAATTAAATGAATTACCAAACCTAAGATAGCAATGGGACCATCTGGAACAATAGCCGGCAAGCTGGCAAATTCATCCTGTTTAATGCAACAAGTTCAGAAACCCCTAGCACGAACGATTGATCTAATAATGTACACACCATTACAAAAATACCATACATATCTGTATTCATCTTCACGGTCAAAGAATTATAACCAAAGATAAAGAGAATTTAGAGTGAGATAAACTTATATCTTCATACATTAAATAGAAAGTTTAAAGAGATAGCAAAAGTAAGCTTCTCATTTCAAACTTTCATGTGAAACTCCTATAAGAAGCTGCTTTACAGTAATTTATAATCTTGATATGCACATTTTCAGTGAAAGAGATAAATTTTATGAACTTAAAAAACAAAATGAAAATGGTTCAAAATATGCAGTTACTTTATGTTCAGTAGTATCTTAAGTAATTATACATGTTGTTGCATCTATAGTTTATTAGTTTTACCTATGCATGGATTTCTTCACAAGAATAGAAAGCATTTTATTTATTTGTCACTAGGATTTAGTGGTGATCTGATAGTGCTAGTTCAGCTTGGGAGATACTTTAATTTCATTCTCGAATCAGAAACTTAGTATCTGCAACGAATCCAAGCGCTAATATACATCAATGTCAACAAATTTTCTCAAATCAGAAACTCCCATGAAGTTAGGTTAGTAATTTGTATTTCAAATATAACAATGTCAAATCAATGAGGTAAGCTGAATACACAAAAATCAGTAGTAGTTCTCAACCTTGTGAATGCATGTCTACAAACCACAAGCAAACATGAACACTTACATACATTTCCCATAATCAATTTGAGCATGACTTTGACATATAAACCATAGTACAAGAGAATAGTGTTCTTGATATCTCAAACTCTGATACTAAGCAATCCAAATATCATAATTTTTATTACATACACCACCCACTATCCCTTGGTGCAAGAACACATCAAATCAAACACATAAGCATACACCAAAACAACAACTTTCAGAGTAGCATACCCAGTAGGAACCAGTCCACTTTTGATCCTTGTAAAGAATGCTGTGAACACTATCTGCAACAAAAGAAACAGAAATCCCGACACATCAGTCACCCTTGGCACATTTCTGAAGTACACAATGACCACAACGAAGAATAACAATTAAAAACATTTATAAGGAAATCTAAGACCCCATTTGCATACTTTTCACACCCATATCATCCATGAAGTAAAGTTTCAATTTTTAAGAACAATTCAGACATAGAGAGAGAGAGAGAGAGATACGGGATGAATCAAGGAGTAGCATTGTAGAATTCGGGGTGTCCACTATGAGTATGTCATTGTAATCAGTTTTCAGAGCTGTTAGCACTTGAAAGTTTTCTTCTTCATCATTTTGTTGGGAATTAAGTGAATTTGAAGAGTGTGCATTGGTATTTGGTTGACGTGTAGAGAGGGAAAGGGAGGGTTTTGGTGAGAGAGTTGAAGCAATGCGAATGGGAAAAGGAAAAGTGTTGAACTTCACACCATTGCCCAAATGAGGAGGAGGAGGCACCACTTTGGTTAACGCCAATGAGCACACTCTCATTGTTGCTTCAGGGCCAATGCTAAAGGATAAGTCAACTCAGTTCAAGTTTGTTATCCAAATTCCAAGTCATTTCCCCCTTCTTTTTCTTCCCATTTTCCCTTTTTTCTAAAATAAAAAATTAATAAAGTAATTTATTTTATTAAATATGATAGCACTAACAACTCCACCAAAACACCTTAGCCAATGATACACCCAATTTTGAAGTGCAGAATTGGTTTCCCTAAGGTAATATCAAGATAAGAGAGGGAAAGAGTGGTCATGCAAGAAGGGGAGCTGTTGTTAATTCACGTCAAAGTGTGAATTGATGTATTTATTATTTAGATTTATACATTAATGTGTTATTAATTTATTTTTTTTAAGATATAACCCTTTTTAGTTCACTATTAATTTATTTTAGAATAAATGGACGTTTCATTTAAATTTGTTATATATTATTTTAATAGTACAAAGTGATGCCTAAAAGGCAAGGAGGACAATTTTTTACAATTAGCATATAAAAAAAAACATTTGTGAAATTTTTAATTTAAAAGACAAGAAAATTTAATTAAAAGAATTGCCTTTTTTTTCATTACTTACGATGGAATGGGATATATAAAATCGAATGTAATTTAAATAGAGTTTCTATTTCGTCATTTAAAACTTTTTTATAATGAAATAAAATTTTGTAAATGCTCACAAGGTGAAATTAACCTTTAAATTCTTAAATTATTTTAAAAAATTATATAAATTTATACATTTTTTTAATTATAGTTATTTTTCACCCATAGTCGGATATAATATTTAACGTAATTCAAACTTAACATTACATATTAAATGGAAATAACCCTGTCAATCAATTCAAATGCTCAATAATCAGTAAATTTATACATTTTAAAAGTTTATATTAAATTTCTGCATTTATAAATTATTTTTAATCACCTCGATAGTTACGTTTGTGTCATAATTCTACCAAGGATAACTTAAATGTAATTAAAAAAAAATTGTTTAAACTTGGAAGTTTATAAAAGACTACCTCTTCTCTTGTATTAAAAACTTAAATAAAGATTGTTCATGAAATATAATTGAGAATATATTTTTATTATGAAATAACACTTTTTATATTTTAAATATAATTTCTTAAAGAACAAAAAACAATCATGACCCAGTCGTTGTAATGAATTGTCACACAACTAGTGTTTTAAGTCTCGAATAGTCTATATTATTATAATTGTATGATAATTTTATAATATATTATAAAAAAATTTACATGTACGATAATTAAATAATATATAGTATAATTGAAGATAAGAAAAAGTGTGAGAAGATCAATAAAATGGTGTTTTTAAAATTAAAATTAAGATTTACAGTTGCCAAATAGAAGTAAAACATCATTTTAAAATTATAATTGTTGACACGCACAAATCTGAAAATGCTGAAATCGATCTCTCTATCTTTATCTTTATTGTGATCTGCTTCTAAACATTAGCAATAGCACTTAATCCTAAATTTATAAACATCATATCTATTTTTTTTTAAAAAAAAACAAAGAATTCAAATTCAGAACTTGAAAACTTTTTAACTAGATTTTTTTTATCAATAACACTAGATAACATATTTGCATTATCTTTTGGAGTATTGATTAAAACTAGATAAATATATTGATAAGTATATTTTATTGATTATCTATATTTTTAATTTATTTAGATAATAAACATCTTAAAAAAAATTTGATTCTTAATTCTCACCTATAAATATATATATTTTAACATAACACAGATTAAAAACAAGTTTTCATCATGAGAGACACAACAATTATGAAATTACCTTCAAGTGAAGAATTACTCCTAGATGAAGAATTAACTTTAGATGAACTTATAGCAATTAGAGCTCTTTTAACAATGTAACAAGGCACAAGAAGGCATGCTACAAATCGTCGTTCTAAGAGAAGATGCAGAAGAATTCAAGAAAATAGTGAAGGGTTATCATCAACACAATTTTTTAATCACATAGGTTGGTTACCACTTCCAAACTTCTATTCTCACGTAACAAATTATGAGAGGTCATTATCAACACAATTTCTCAATGGGATAGATTTGCCACCACTTCATAATCTTTATAACTATATTGTTGATTGTAGTAAGCCTCTTGAAAAGAAGCTAACAACTAGTGACTTAAGAGCAAGTCACAACAAACTATTACTCAACAAGAAACATGTTGAAGAATTTTTCCTGCCAATATTAAAGAATGGTGAAAATATTGTGGCAGGAATACCCGTTAGTGCTTATGATATGGATGGTAATGTGTTCTTTATGAAGTTAAAAAAATGGGCAGATAAGTATTATGTCCTTAGTGAAAGTTGGAATAACTTTGTTGAAACTCATACATTAAAAGTACATGAAAGTTTTGTTAAAGTATAGATATTTTATCATTCAATACTCAATAATTTATGTTTTGCTCTTAGTATAAGAAATTTGGAAGAGTCATAATATGTAAAGAGAATAAGGACACTCCAAGTAAAGTTGATTATTTTGTTAAATTTTTTAAGAAACACTTTACATTTAAGAGATTATTCTTGTTTTTTTTTTTTCAAATTGTTATTTGAATAATTGTTCTTTACTCTTAGTTTGCTATTATTTACATACAATATAATTTGTTTATATTCCCATTAAAGATGAACGTAAATCCTGAATTTGTATCAAGCACCATTATATTTTTAACACTGATTTTTAATGCACTAAATCTTTTCTCTTTTAAAAAGCTCACTTGTGCCAATATTTTTAAACGGAGGTGGTAGGAGAGTTTCGATTACGTAAAAATTATTTAATTAAAATTCTACAATGTTTTAAAAATATTTTGTTTACTGTTTAAATAGATACGTAAAAATACATAATCACATGATAAAGTGAAAGTCTTGCGATCACAATCGTAAACACATTTTTAATTTAGTCATCTATGCATAAATATCACATTAATGCGTGACCACCGAATAAAATATACTTTATATAGACTTGAGTATATATTTTTTATCTTTTACCGTTCTTTCTTTTACTGTGAACTGCGTCTTCTTCTCCGCATCTCCAGTCAGTGAAGGCTGAGTGGTTCAGTGAGAAAAGAAGCTGTGTTCTCCCAGTTTAATGCTTGAAGAGCCTCTGCATGATGTCAGAACAAGTTCACCTTTGATGGGGTGTTAGAACAAGTCCCACATCATGTGATTTCACATATTAAAAGAAGGTTATATACGATTAGCTTCAACCAAGGTTTGTCCATTCGGGGACATCCGATAAAATTGGAACGATACAGAGAAGATTAGTATGGCTCCATCACAAGATGACATGCACAAATCAAGAAATTTTGTGTCTGATGATTTTTTGGGAACTTAATGAATAAGTTTTATAATTTCTTTCCAGAAAAACAATTGGTTAGATCACTTTATGCAACAATTAGTGAAATTGGAATATGCTCTTTATCCAACATTCAGTTAGAACTTAGACATATTGCTACTTAAGATTTATTTGTTAGTTTATCTAATGGTTTTTTTTAATGTGTCCAAGGAAACACAATTAAAACCTAATCACATGACATCACATAATTTAACTCGGTTATAACATTAAAGGCTACAATTTTCAATTAGAAGTTACTATTTATTGATATCTTGTTATGTGTTTTTGGACAAATGTTAAAAAAATCTTTTATCTAAAAAATTGATTTTGTATAACCCACATTTGTTGATTAATTCGTTATTCATATAAATACTTTAGTAGGAATATTTATATTGTGAATAGGGAGCACTAATTTTATCTTGATTCTTTGTAGTCTATTGTTGAATTTTATTTTTTTTTAGTTTATTAACTATGTTCTATCTCCTGTTACAGCTGTGTGAAAAATATATTGCAGAATTTGTGCTAGTTGCAATGCCATGATTGGATATGTAATATTTTTTAGTTGCATGGAGCTGTTTGGCATACAAAATGCTTTTGTTGCCATGCTTGCAAAAACTGCTAATAATTTATTATGAGGTGAAAGTCTTTGGTTGCTGTATGCCCCCCACAATGAATTTAATCTTGACATGTTTAAACCTTGTTCTAATATTCATGTATGATGGAGATACTTAACTTATTTCCTTAATTTTAATGTTAAATATGATAATAAATAATGGTTGAATCACCACTACCATCAACCCTCCCATAAAGGAGCTGCATAACCCAAGATGTAATGTTTACAAGAACTTTGCAAGTATTCGAACAATTGGATGTTGTATCTTAGTAACAGTATTTTAATCTCCAAACCTAAAATTTGGAGTTGAAGAAAGAATTGCACTGCAAATAAGTCATGCACACATATATTGTTTTCTGTTTAATATTTTTAGTTTGTTAGCTACACATACAATAAGGTAGGATTATGGAATTTAGGGATACAACTTCACTAAGGTGGAGGGTGGGGGAGTAAGGGAAAGTGAAGAAGTTCAGTAATCATTAAGATACAAAGCAAATGAATGATGAAAAATGTTAAAAGAATCTCCCCTCAAAGCATGCAAAAAACTCCCTTAGTATAGGATATCACTTTGGCTCCCTTACTTTGAATTTCATCATATGAATAGCTTTCTTATGTAAATTGTTGTTCATACTGTGCTGACAATATTTCTTTTCAAGTGAATTGAAATATGTCAAATTACACCGTCAGGTATCACCGGAGATCAATATGATATCTCATAGGACCAAAACTAGCGGTTACTGTAATTAGGAATAATCTATAGGCGTACTGACCCAGCCACAGCGTTGTTATCTTGGATTATTAGGAATAATGTACCTGTAACTGAACATGTTATTTTGAGACCCTTGAAGTGATTGAATTACATGTGCATGGCGTCATATTGTACTATCATATTCCTAGCTACGTAGATATAATTTGGAGTGGGACCATCGCACTGATAATGAGTAATGCACTTAAATCTTTCTGTGACATATTTGGGCAGTTACATGCTATAACTTAGTAACTGCTACTATCCCACCTTCATTAGACCTTAGGACTCTTTACATCTATCAACTGAAAGATTGTTTTCTTTTTCTTTCTTTTGTTTCAAGCTTTGGAAATATAGTTCAGTCACTGTAAAATATTTTTTCAGGACTAAAAGCATAGCGATGGAATTATGGAAACTTGGGGTAATAAAAAAATACAAATTTTAATAATGGGAAAGGAGTTTAAAGGGAAAACTTTCAGAAGCAAAGCAAAAATAATCAGAAAATATTGTAATTTGACCACTCACGAATGTAAAGAGAAACACTCCCTTTAATACCTGATAGTGTCTATGATATAGATGGTAATGTGTTTTTTTATGAAATTAAAAAAATAGGCAGATAAGTATTATATTCTTAGTGAAGGTTGGAATAACTTTGTTCCAACTCATGTATTAAGGATGCGTGAAAGTTTTGTTAAAATATGGATATTTTATTATTCAACACACAATAATTTATGTTTTGCTCTCGATATAAGAAATTTGAAGGAGTCATGAGTCTAAAAATAAAGTGAAAGGAAAGTTTTGGTTGTGTAACACTGCCTTGATTGTATTTTTTACCTTTATTGTGCATTGTAGCTAAAACAGAAGTGTTAAAGTTGTCAAAATGTACTAATAAAATTTATAAATTTTTAATTGATATTTTTATGAGTATTAGCTTCATTTATTTTTATTTTTTTTGTCATGACAGAATCAAAATTATTTATATGAGGTAATTATATTTTAGGTAGTATTAAATTTAAATGTAAATAGTCTCTCTAAAAATTAGAATCTAATTAGATTCTAATTAAAAGATTGAAATTGTGCAGTTTAAAAACATAAAAAAAAACAATAAATAAAAGTTTAAGTATGTGAATTAAAATATGTATTATTGAATCTATTCTTCATATTATACGATTATGAATCTTAATTTGACACTTAAAATAAACTAACTGGTATGGCATAGGTGTTTGAAAAAATTAATAAAATATAAAATTTAAATTTAAATTTTTAATTTAATTGATCTTTTAACTAATCTTTATCACCAATAATATTAATAGCATTTTTTTATTATCCTTGTAGTTATTAATTAAAATTAGATCAATATAATAATAAGTATATTTTATTAATTATATGCAGACTTTAATTTATGTAGATAAATATTTTATTATCCTAATCATACAATTATGAAGTATATATAGTTATGTCTTTGTTGAACATTATTTAATTTAAATATTTAAATCATAATATAAATAATCAATTACCAATAACATATATTTTATATATAAAAAAAAGTAAGAGTAGTGTGTTGTAACGCTCTGAATTTTTGGTAATATTGTTTAATTATTAAATATTTATATACATATATTTTATCTGTTGATTGACATGAAGATGATGGATATATATGTATAATGATGTGGACATGTATAAAAATGATTGTTAGAAAATTCGTATAGTATAGTTAGAATGTGATGTGAATTATGACTGGACTAAAATAGATTGAATATATATATATATATATATATATATATATATATATATATATATGTGTGTGTGTGTGTGGGGGGGCTAAGTGTGGATGCTGCTGCAGAGTATTTTCGCTGTAGTGAGAGACCCTTGGGCGTGAAGCATGAAATTGATTATGTTTAATTGATTATGTGATAAAAATACGTTGTATGTAATATGATATATATTTTTGTTTTATTTTAATCCTTGAAATGATCACTCGTTACACATTTTAGTTTCTAAAATTGTTGACAGACATTTTAATCCCTGATTCTTAAATAATCAATAAAATCATTAGGTTAAAATTTGTCCAAACAATATCTAAAACAACGCCTCTACTGCAAACAAAGAACAAAAATGAAAATAATTGTGCAAACAATGAGACGATGTTCGTGCAAGTTTGTTGTTATATCTCCAAAAAGGCAAGCGGATTAGAGTCATGGTTTTCCGATCATCAACCTGCAAAATTTGGTTTAGAACAGAGTCCAAGTTCAGTTGAATTGGTTGGAGGCTTTGCATTCCATATCTATACTTATGATTCGGTTCCTCTTTTTAAACATAAAAAAGATTAACACAATATATAACATAACATACAATTTTTTTCTATACACAAGTCTAAAATATATCTAAAAATACAATGAACAAAACTCTTTTTTTTTTTTTTTTTGCACTCTCTATTTTCAAGTAGTTTTACCAACTTCTGATTTTGAAAGTTTTATTTAGAAGTTTAAAGGGAGAAAAGTAACAAATTTAAAGAGTAAAGAAGGTAAGGTTAATTGAAAAAAATTAATTTGAAAGAAATTAAAAATACGAATTCATGATAAATTTTAATAAATTTATAAAATTTACTGACAAACATTACCATCAAATAAATCTTTCTCTTCCCCTCTTTCTCCTAAAATTAACTCACTCCAAAAGCTTAAAACATTTGCTGAAAGATTGGCCGAACCATTGCAAAAACTGGAAATGGAATAAGGATGAAAGTAGGGTTTGACAGTGACAATTAAGCCAATTACAAATCAACAAGGAAATTGGCTATTCCATGCAAAATTGCATATTGGACAGAGATTCAAAATACATTACCTACCCATGTTTATTCAATCAAATTACGGCTTATATACATAATTTACAATGGTAGTTAAAAAAATTATTAGATAAATAACATGTTAATGTATAAAATGCTTAGACCGTCCATTATCACTTTTAACATCATTATACCAAATGCTAATTTCTTGCTTTTAATTTATTAGTTTATACACAATGATTGCGCCTCAAATTTACGTCAGCCACTCGTTAAAAAAAAAAATCAGCGTGTCTAATGCAACATTTCTAGTAATTCGTCTAACAACCAATCATGAAACAAATAAATTACTGCACTTAAATGATAAAAGTTTCCTTCAATATGTCAACAAACAAAATTTTACTAAGATTCAATATCACGTAAACGTTGTTTCTTTTCTAACAAATAATCTGGGAAGGGAAACGCCTGAGCTCGGGGAAAAACTTGGATTTAACACCACATAATCAAAATCTCTTGTCTAAAGCTAATCCCAGCCGGTAGCCGCAAAAGTTTGGGCCGCAGGAGGCCCAGCAACTTGTGGAGCCGCAGCAACTTGTGGAGCCGCAACAACTTGTGGAGCCGCAGCAACTTGAGGAGCCGGAACAGACTCACCCCAATCTCCTGTAAGAGGAACTTCAGTCAAAATAATTGTGATTACATAAATTTCGTAAGACCAATCAAAACTGTTAATAATAGAAAAGGCATATGTGGCCCTATCATCTTATCACTGGATCAGAGATTCTCTTCTCTCTCTTTCTGGCCAGTGGAGGAGAGGGAACTGTTGCAACATATGAATGACAGGAATCAACTAGCACTAGCACAGTTGTATACCAGTAACATTTTTTGCATACAATTTACAGAAAGGAAGGATGCACAGCTAATTGCATTATTTCAACATCAAATTTGGACATAGAGACATAAAGGTCAATAAACAGACTAAATGACCAAGATGAACTTATTCAAACATTATGAATAGAACAATTCATATAAAACTTAGTCTAGCATCATCATCAAAAAGATCCAAAACCAATTCAATAATTCTTACCGGTTGCTTCTGGGGCCCAGTTACCAGGAGCTGCTGGGATTGGTTGTGGAGCTTCTTCAGTCCAGGGTTGTTCAAGTGCAGCAGGCCATTGGCCATCAGCAGGGAAGCTGCTAATACCAGCAGCATTAAAGTCCGAAATAGCGTAATCTTGGGCAGCTGGTGCTTCATCTTCTTCTTGTTGCTTGGCCTCCTCGGGTTCTCTATAGAAGAACAAATCCACCTGCATAAGAAAGATTGAGATAATTAGCTATTACAAGGAAATTTGTAAGATTATAGACATCTACAAACAGAATGAATCGCAAGAGCTATAAACAACCATTTTATTCAGAAAAGCAGCTATTTATTTACCATGACATCCCACTTGTGTCCTGGACGAATAGTTCCCCGCATCTGCAGTACCATCCTAGCTAATAGCCAAAAGAGACAACCAATGCTATGCTTCCCCTTATTATTGGCAGGAATCCCAACGTCAACATATCGCATTGGAGAATCAGTGTCACAAAAAGCAATAGTTGGTATATTTCCAAGAGCACCTTCCTTAATGGGCTGCATATAAAACAATTACATAAGGCAAATTCTGGCAGGACAGGCAGTCAGGTACAAAATAACATGATACACTCAATTATTATCTGAAATTTAAAACCAACATAAGAAAAGATCCTCGACAGTTAAAAATTGAACTATATTTCTTCTCAATACACCTGCAACACTTCATAGTTTTAACTTCTAAAGAAGTAATAACCTGATGATCTGTTCTTGGATCAGTCAGAATTAGAAGACGAGGCTCATTATAGGATGTCTGCAACTGATTGGTGAATGTTCCGGGCGTGTGCCTTCCTGCAATCGCATGAGTGCCAGTGTATTGAGCAAACTTAAGCACTGCTCTCTGACCATAAGGCCTAGCAGATTGAACAATGATATCTTGAGGGTTCTCAATGGCAACAATAATCCTAGCAGCAAGTTGGAGCTTCTCCCATGTCTTGCCAAGGTTAATTATGTAAATACCTGAAAAACCAAAAATACTAAAATCAACAAAAAGTCTAAGATGTCCTGTTTCATAGCAATGGCAAACCTTTATAATAATGATAGGAAAAAAAAAATCAGAAACCTTTATAAAAAAAATAATTAGTAATTAAATTGACCCTTTGAATCAATGGTAATTAGCAATATCATGACCATGTTCTGCCCAAATTCAAAACACAGACACAAAAAATCGTTACAATTATCAAAAAGTCCAGATATCTTGCCTTTTTATTAATTTTCCAAAATTTAGAGCACACATAAAACACGCAAAGCTACTACTATAAGCACATATTCACAGTGATGGGGCTTCTAAGGTATCTAGAATTCTACATTTGAGTGATTATATCTAATTATAAATACATTGTAACATATTTACTAAAAGTGAGAAAGCAATTAATCTTGGCCATACAACGATATACGAATAATAAAAATTGATTTAATTAGTTATAGTCTTTACAATCGACTTTAATTAGTTGTGATTCACTCGTCAGACGCTCTCATCTCTCACCTTATGCATTATTATAAATAAACAAATATTAAATGAATTTAAGCATAACATTGACATGCTATATTCTCATTCACCGTCTAAAAAGATGCAATTTTTTTTCAATACTAGGAACATGGAAATCACTCATTAAAATTAAATTTTAAAAAAATCTGTGAATAGATCACTGACCGTCGGTGCGGCGCTTGAAGACGTAACGTTCCATTTGAAAGTCACAGTTTTTGGTGCCGAGGTGAACGTCGGCAGCGAGCATCATCTGGATGTCCGTCTCCTTCTGCGACAGCTGACGTGGCGCAGCTGCAGTGGTAGCGGTGGCGGCCATGACTACGGGGGTAGGAGAATTGGTGATGGTGTTGCTTTGTCTTCTGAAGATTTGAGAAATTAGGATTTCTGAAGGTTCATGCTATTATGGACATAGGTGGAGGACAGAAAAACCCTAATTTTGTTAAATGACGCTAATGTCCTTTTATTGTTGACATTTGGGCCTCGAGGGCCGTGCCATTTTCTGTTGGTCATTACGGTATTTTATTATCTAAGAAATCCTAAATGGACTTTTTTTCATATGAAAAATGAAATTAAGTTACCAAAATATAGGATTTTTAAAAAATAAAAATATGAAAAATATTTGAAAATTATCATTAATTATCAATCAAAACTTTAAGTATTTAAAAAAATTTAAATGTTTATTATTTTTAAGAAATCATTATTGACAAGTTTTAAAATTTTTTAAAAATATTATTAACAATTTTTTAATTCTTTATGGTTTTAATTTTTTTATAAATATCATATCTTATTATATATGTTATTTTTAAATAATACATATAAAAGAGAATCCTCTGAAAGGTTAAAAGAGATAAATAATTAAAAAAATAAAAGAATATATATGTTAAAAAAAATTTATCCACAGATATATATATATATATATATATATATATATATATATATATATATATAATGTTTGGAAGTATATAATATACTCTCTTTTTATGAGCTATAAGTATTATATTATTTTTTAAATAACATATATTGTTTAGACTATTTGTATTATTAAAAAAATTAAAAGTTTTTTAAATATTTTAAATTTACTAGTTATATTTTATTTTTATTCTAATTTTTATTTATATATTTTTATTATTTAAATTTTGTCGTACTTTACTGTATTGAAGTAGATTGTTATATTTATTTATTTTTTATTTAAAACTAATATTTTTTTTTTTAACTTTTTTGTATTTGGTCTCAGGTTATGTCTTCTAAATTTTTTTTAACAATGATAAGTGTTTATTTTTATTTTTTGTTGAACCTTGTAAAATTTAAACAAACTAAGTATAAAACTTAAATTAGATAAGATTGTGAGGTATTTTAATTTTTAAAGTGATAAGATTATTATATTTTTAAATAAAATAAAGAATAGTGTAATTATACAATTTTTTTAGAGTTTGTTTAGATGTTATCTTAAGAAGTGGAATGGAATATTTATTTATAATTAGCTCTTGTTCGGGAGTTAAAAACAATGAAAGAAATTGTTAAGAGTTTTTTTTTAAACTTTCTAGAATCTTTCTAAATTCAATTTTTAAAGTTTCTTTAAATTTAAATTTTTTTTACAAATTTTAAATATTACAAAAAAAAGGTTAACATGTCTTTTCCTTCCTTTTTTTTTTTTTGTCCGTTACACTTTTTTACTTATTTATTTATTTACTTTTAAACAAAGCTTTGAAGAGAGAAATATAATTTATCATAAAAAAAATTAATTTTTAAATTTATCAATATAATTAATTTTTAATATTTTTAAAAAAAATAATAACAATCATCAAAGTATTCTAGTTTTGGGTAAATTAGAAATTATTTTAGTATAAAATTTTAGGAAGAGAAGACTATGCCCCAATTCTAAAGCGAAAAAGGTCATGGACTAAAATATAAAAAAAATATTATAAAAACTTATATTTACTTTAACTTTAAAGATAGGAGTAATTTCAAATTTAACCAATATATGGAAGTTAATTTTTGAGTAAATAACAGCAAGGACGATATTAGTTGGTAATAATTATTGTTTGAGAGTATTTAGAAAAGATGAACAAGTTTTATAAATACTCTTATAACTTTATTTAAAAGTTTAGAAAAAAAAAGTGTATAAAAAGTTGGTTAATACAACACTTTTCAAATTAAGGAAACATGAGATTAAGAGGGTTTTTGAATGTTTATAAATCCTCCTCCTCTTGTTTAAAAACTATAAAATAAGAAAAATCATTATGTAAATCTTTTCATTTCCTTTTCTTTCTCCAAAAAAATCTTTATTAATTGCATAACGTAAAACTAGTTGCATTAGTAAATGCTTCTGGTGCTAGCAATCACGTCAAACATTTATTATCTTTTAATAATAAAATAATAATTCTATTAGCAATGATAAATGGTCCGTTGTTACTTCTTTTACCATTCATCTTCTATCTACTGTTTTCATTTCATAAAAGCTAATACATAGGTATTTGGATGTAAGTTTACAAACAAAGATAATACCTTGTTATCAGCCGAGGAATATTTTCGAGCAACAATATAAGATGAAGAGCAGCTGCTAACAGTGTAGTTTCTTCCCCATTTTTCAGATCTTCTCAACTTTTCTTAAAATTTTTGTCTTTCCCTATCCCATCCTTCTATGAAAAGCTCTCTCCTTCTAATTTTAAAGATTTGTTGACTCTCTAAAATTTTTCTCCTTTCCGAAAACTTCCCCCTGGATCTCTTGCTTGAGATTTTATATTAGGTTCATTTAGGGTTTTTACAAAACGCCAAAATCTTGAGTTTTTTCCCTTTTCATGTTTAAAATTAGTTTTTGATTTTGGGGTATAAACCTGTGTAATACAGGTTGCTGTTCCGAGAAGCAAAATCATTTTTTTCAAAAAATTTCCATTTTACTGTAAAATAATTTTATTTCATTTTTTTTTAATTTTGGAAGTAATATCTGGAAGACAAAAATTGGTATTCACACATGTTATGATGAGAGAAAATTATAGAACGAGAATTGATGTAAAGGTTGTGAATGAGAATTTAAAGTTGTTTATGTTATCAAAGTGAAAAGAGAAGTGTTGTGAAAATGTATGTCATGAAAAAGTGACAAAAATATGTATAGATAGTTAAAAAGATATATTGGAAGTATAGAGTTTAGAGACGATTTAAGAAATCTTGAGAAAATGAGGATAGTGAATATCGTTTGTAGTGGGTGCACATGAATTGCTGAAAGCGGAAACATAACAGGCATCACACTTATTTCTCGACTAGACTCCTGACTATACCTTTATTAAAAAGGGTTGTGTTAGCACATTATATTCATATTATTCTGGCTAACCAATGACCATCTATATTTATGAAAGACCTCAAGGTATCTCGGGAATAATGAATGTAGAAATTGTGATATCTATGTTATAATACAATGATTGTATAATTATAATGCACATGTTGTAATAGATTAATTGGTGTAATTATAGGACAAGTATTGTAATACATTGATGGATATCATTATAATATATATATAGTAATGCATTGATTAATATGATTAAAACGTATGTATTATGACATAATAACTGATGTAAGAATATATGAAATGACATGATCTTAGTGTATGTCTTGAAATAGTAATGAAGTGATTATTATGATGTTTGATCTGCTAAAAATTTATTAATATAATATGCGAACTATATTATTTTAGTGTATATTGCCTTTAATGATGTTTTAGTATTACTTGTTCATTTATAAAATAAGAAATTTAGTGGAACGATAAATACTCACTCTTATAACTATTTTTCAAGAATTGAAATAAAGAATAATTTGTTTTAGAATCATATTTTCAGTGACATTAAAAAGAAGAATTTACTTTATTAAAATTTAATATATATTAAAGTTATAATAATTTTGATTAAGTCCTATTTAGAAATTGATTTGGTATGTAAATCATTTAATGTTGATTTTTAGGAACTTAAAAGGTTTGATAAAGTTTCTTGTAAATAATGTTTTGAAATATATTTATAATATTTAGTAGTTAATTCGCTTAATTCTACTTTTTTTTTTTTACTTTAATGTTCAATTTAAATTGCAAAAATATATTTTTATGTTAAGAATAAAACTTATATATAAAGTTTTAAGATTTTGATAACTTCTATTGTTTTAAAATTTAAATTCATGTAAATTTTCCTAATTTATAAAAAATATTACTTACTTTAATTAAATTTTATTGAAATTATATACAACAAGAATAGAGATGACCTACCTTGTTATAAATTTAAAGCTAATGTTTTTTTTTTTATTGCATTTATTATAAAACAATTTATGATTTAAAATGTAAAATAATGTTAACAAGCTCAACAAAATTCATAATTAATTTTGTAAAATTTATGATAATTGAAAAATTGAGTATAAAATCCATGATATTTAAACATTTGACGGTGTTTTGAGATTAAAATCACAGCTATAAAATATTAAAAGTAACATTCTTTTATAAATTTGAATTTGTCACACGTAATAGAAGGTACACATTTATTAAAAATTATTTCCCCATTTCATAATAATTGCTATATTTAATTTAACTATTTTATAAAAGTATATTTTTCAAATGATTTCTTCTCTTTTTGGGTATTTTGGTTGCTATTTTTTTTATTTACCAACTTCCATAACAGATTATTGGATTTATTATTGGCTATGGTGATTTTAAATATTTATCAATGATTCCAGATTCTTGCTCTCACTCAAGTCCATGGAGAGTTACATATAATTTACGGTTGTCATACATAAGTTATTATAATAAAAATATGACTAGTAGTTATTATAGTAAAAATATGTTAGTTCAAGTGATGCACAATAATTTATATAATTCATAATTTTTTTTCTAGAATAAATTAGGATATGTTTCAGTTAATGTAGGAATTGACGTCCAATTTTGTTTTTATTTAAACAAAAATATAGAAAATAATAATTTTTTTAATGCAAAATTACCTTAAGCTTGGTTTAAGCAAATTATTTTAACTTAAGCAAATTTTATGTCTTTTCTATTAATTTTTTTTTCTCTTTCTTCTCATGTCTAACATTTTCTCATTAACTTTCATGTTTAACCCTCTTTAATTTTTATATTCAACAACTTTCTTCTCTCATATCCAACTTCTCTTTTCCCTCTACCCATGCCTAACTTTTCTCTTCTTCTCTCAACTCCCTTTTCCGTCTACTCATGCCTAACTTCTTTCTAGTATCACCCAACCTCATACCTATCTTTTTTTCTTTCCTCTATATCCAACTCTCCATCCTTCTTTCCCTCCATTATCATCCTGTACCACTGCTCTTCTTATCTCCATTTATTTTCGGTCCTCTCTTCTTTTCACACCTAGCTTCCATATTTTTAAATGCACAGATTTTACTTATGCCAACAAAATTTTACTTAAGCTAATTTTGTATAAAATAATTTTATTATTTTCTGTATTTTCGTTTAAACGAGTCTATTTTTACTTAAGCAAAAATAAAATTGAACATCTAGTTTTCTATTAACTAGAGCGAATACCATTAATAAACTGATGTTGCAAAGTAGCTCAAATATGATAATATGTGAATAATATTCCAGGGCTTCTTAAATATATATACAAAAAGAATTAGTAAAAAAAACTAATTAAATTTAAATTAAATTTTAGTTTAATTTTTAATATTTTAATTTCTATTAAACTATATAAAGCACATTCGTACTTAATAATATATTGACAAGGAAAAAGAAAGAGTAAAGTTATGATATTCATGTCCCAAGTCTGCAACACCAAAGCGAGGTGCTTAGCCAATATAATTATCCTTTACAAATTAAAAAAAAATTATCATCTAATATAATTCTACTCTAATGAATACCAGTATAATTCTTAAATATTATTGATTTTAGATAAATAAATAAATAAAAGTGAACTTGCATTGTGTAATATATATATATATATTTTAAAAATACAACAATTCAATAAAAAAGTCGACAAGATGTTAAAAAGAAAAAATAAATAACAAAAATCTTTTCCAGATAAACCCTGATTGATAATACTACCTCCGGGGCTCGCACAGCAAACTGAAGAGTTCTGAGATTGTGTGTTCAGCCACACACAATTTCCTCAAGCTTGAAGCGACCAATCTATCATGGCCATTGCCTCCACATTCTGGCGGTAGTAGCAATAAGTTTCTCATATCTCTTCACAGTGAGAGGAACCACAAAGGTTTCAACTTCTCGTCACCCTTCCCCCAAAGTTTGAATTTTGTTTTTTGTGGGTTTTTCTTGTTCTTATCTGTAGCAGATTCTTAGGTTTCTACAATAATATTTGTCTTGTCCCATTTGGAGGACCAACAGGGTATATATAAGGTGGTTCAATTTTATTTATTTTTTGTTTAAAAGATGCCAACTTTGATTTCAACGAGGTTTCTTTTGCTTGTTGGAGAGTCACTTCCCATGAGAAGGGCTTTGGCAACTTCTAGGTCTGTTTTATTGCACACTAGTGTTAATTGTATGAGCCAGGTGGAGCCCCATAATGGTTCCCTCACCCTTTCTAGCATTGGTATCCAAAGTGACACTGAACCCAGAAAGAGAAGCAAATCAAATAAGGTTAAGCCATTGAGTTCACCCTCTGAGACTCTCAAGGGCAAAGGAAAGCCCTTTGGCATTAATGATAAGAAGAAAATTGTTGGTGTTATGAAGAAACAGCAAATAGAGTCTGCCCCTTTTGCCGCAAATTCATTTTCAGAACTTGGACTTCCACGTGTGTTGATTGAGAGGCTAGAAAAGGAGGGTTTCACTGTTCCAACAGAAGTTCAATCTGCTGCAGTTCCCACCATTCTTAAGAACCATGATGTCATAATTCAGTCTTACACAGGTTCGGGGAAGACGTTGGCTTATCTGCTTCCTATACTCTCGGTAGTTGGGCCGCTGAGGGACAAAATTCCTGAAGGCAATGGTGATGGTGGTGAGAGTGGGAAAAAGTTGGGAATAGAAGCAGTGATTGTTGCTCCTTCTAGGGAGCTTGGGATGCAGATAGTGAGGGAGTTTGAGAAGGTACTAGGAATGGATAACAGGAAAGTGGTTCAGCAGCTTGTGGGAGGTGCAAACCGAACCAGGCAGGAAGAAGCTCTCAAGAAAAATAAGCCCGCCATTGTTGTTGGGACGCCTGGTAGGATAGCAGAGCTCAGTGCAGCTGGGAAACTTCGCACTCACGGCTGTCAATATTTGGTGTTAGATGAAGTTGATGAACTCTTGTCGTTCAATTTCCGGGAAGATATGCACCGGATATTGGAGCATGTAGGGAGGAGGTCAGGTTCAGACCCTAACTCAGATTCTGGAAAGGCTGAGCGTCAGTTGATTATGGTTTCTGCCACTGTGCCATTTTCTGTTGTAAGAGCAGCCAGGAGCTGGGGTGGTGACCCACTTCTTGTCAAAGCTAAGAAAGTTGTTCCGCTTGAAGCTGTCTCTCCCTCCGAGCCTGTCAATTTGTCAAGGTCTTCACTCAACTCAAGTCATAGTCCATCTATGCCATCTCAGGCAGCAGTAGAGAGTCTACCTCCTGCATTGAAACACTATTATTGTGTAACAAGGTTGCATCATAAAGTTGATACGTTGAGAAGGTGTATTCATGCACTGGATGCTAAATTTGTTATAGCGTTCATGAACCACACTAAGCAGCTAAAGGATGTTGTCTTCAAGCTGGAGGCCCGTGGGATGAAAGCTGCAGAGTTACATGGAGATCTTGGGAAGCTTGCTAGGTCAACAACTCTGAAGAAATTCAAGAATGGTGAAGTAAGGGTTCTGGTGACAAATGAATTATCGGCAAGGGGTTTGGATGTGGCAGAATGTGATCTTGTGGTTAATCTGGACTTACCTACTGATTCAATTCACTATGCTCACCGAGCCGGTCGAACTGGTCGACTTGGTAGAAATGGTACAGTGCTAACCATATGTGAAGAGCCAGAAGTGTTTGTTGTGAAGAAATTGCAGAGGCAGCTAGGAATACCAATTGCATCGTGTGATTTTGCAGAGGGGAAGCTACTTGTCACTGAAGTAGAGAAAACACTAAGCACTTCTGAAAGATGAGATGTTATATTTGCAACATGTTTAGTTGACGATTTAGTTTCCATGTTTCATGTTTTATTCTTCATCGCAATTTCCTTTCCTTTTTTCCCCTTTTTTTCTCCAGACCCTTGGGGGAATAAAGTTATTTATATGCATCAAAGGTATTTATAGGGTTGCTTCATACCTATTTTACTGATTGACAACATATACTTGAGTCCACATTGGAAATGTACCTTGTAGATTACTTTTAGGTTGAATATACTGATAAGTGTAGCTGATATCTGTTTCACAACAAGTACTGCTTATAGATTCAACTAGTTATCCCTTTATTGGATATTGAGTTTGTTGAAGTCTCATATCGACTATAGATATGACTAGATAAGAGCTTATGAAGGTTAAAACAATCCTAATCTTACAGGCTAACTTTTGAGGTTGAGTTAGGCATAAAAGACTTAATTCAACATAGTGTTAGAGCCTATTGTAGATCCAATATTAGCCACCCTTGACTGGAAAAAAACATAAAATCTGGCTCCATCAATTTTCCAGTGCAATTAATATGGCCCTTGGATTTCCCCATGTAACTTACCTGGTCTTGCAGCTTTCCCAGTGCTATATTAAAAAAAAAAGTCTTACAATTTCTGTGCTCAAAATGTTCAATTTTAAGTGTGAGGGGATGTGTTGAAGTCCTATATCAACTATAAATATGACAAAATAAGAGTTTATAGATGCTAAAATAATTCTCACCTTACAAGCTAGTTTTTGGGGTTGAGTTAAGCTTAAAGCCCCAATTCAACAAAGTTTTTTAGTCAATTGCTGATGAACAACTTTGGCATGAATTGCCTTGGAAAACACAATTTCTATGAGATCAATGTTCTTCCTTTCTTTTTTCCCAGTTCTTATAGATGGAAAACATTTCAGGCATTGAAAATTACTCCTGTGGACTCTGGTGAACAGAAGAAAAATGGCAGAAAAATAGAGTGGTCCTATGGGATGTATCAAAAGTGACGGCAGGGAGGAGCTGGAAGGAGAGAATTATGCGGTAATGCGATGTAAGGAGTTAGAGCAAAGTATGACTCACCATATATAGAAAATACAAGAGTGAAGAGAATGTAAAGATATTAAAAAAGGATTAGTGAGCATTAAAAGAGCAAATAGGGACTAGACTGGTGGACATCTAACAGGAAAATGGTGCAATATAAGTTAACAGGCTCAAAAGTAAGGTGTAACTAAAACAGTTTTGGATTAGCAGCAATTTTTATACCCCCAAAAGAATGAGCGGGTGAAATACTGAAATTATGAACCCATGGTCCAGAGTCTTAAAAGTATTTAGATTGTCATACAAGTCTTGCTTTAGTATGATATTGATATACCATGCTAATAACAGAACCTTAAAAGAAGAAAACTATATTATGCATGATGATTCATGCTGTGACCAGAACGCTACTAATTAAAGGTTCTAATTCTGTTATTTCATGTGTAACTACTCTTTTGGTGACCCTTTATTTTTTTTGTTATATCTTAGTAAGTTCTATGTTTTGTGGTGCAAAGTAAGTGGTCCCTAAATGTAGATTTGAAATGTGAAACAAATAATTTGAGATTGCTACTAAATTTAGAGAAGTTATAATTAAAGCACATACTTGAGTATGGAATACAACTCTATGGGAATCACAGTAATGAAGTGCCACAGTTTTGACAATCTTATGGAAATTCTTTGGATAGCACGTTAATTGTCATCTCGTAAGCCCTGTGACTGCATTAAAATCTGTTATTTAATACTCTTCTACTCCTAATATAAAGTCTGTTTCGCACTATGATTAAAACAATTCTTCTGGGTTTGATTGTGGTAGTCTCAATTTTTATGTCACTTGTTACTGTTAAAAAACATGATTTTGAGGATTTAAAAGAGTTCAAATTATGTGCAATACAGCTCAAAATAGTTTGGGATATCTATTTTAGTATACTGTACGATTTATAATTTAATTCAAAAGAAAATAGAAGGTAAATCCTTGATTAATCTTTGTTCCCAAACCATGACTCTTGAGACTTTTTAAAACTGAACAAAAAGATTCAGTAGTGTGAAAAAAAGACAGAGAGAGATGGGTAGACACAATTAAGTGATAAGGCAGATAAGATACAGGAGATAAAATTGGCAGAGAGAGGTGGATTATATAGGGACAAAGAATAAAAGAAGTGTTACATAGAAATGTGGCACCGTAGAGTGTGATATGTTGTCAGATTAATTGCATTGTATTATGCATGCAGAATACGAACAGGATTAGGTGCTTACATGCTGCACAACTAGAGTATGTTTGGGAAAAAGGTAGAAATTGGGTTAGGAGAGTGTCAATATAGGTGATAATAATTAAGAAAAAGCAAGAAGTTAGAGAAAGGAAGAGGAGGGAGGGAGAGAGAGAGGAAAGGAGAGATTTGAATAGTGTAAATAATGAATAATAGGTTTGAAAAAATGATTTAGAAAGGAACATATGTAACTTAGCATGCAATAGGAAACATAATAGTGCCTTTTACTGGCTGTGATTTGTACTCCTTTGAATACATCATGATTTAGGTAGAAGAATACCTATAGGATCCAAGGAATAGGCCCTTTAGGCTCTTTTTTTCTTATTTTTTATTTTACTGTGTTGTTTCTCTGTATAATATGCATATGTTTGGTTTTTTTTTGCTTACTGAAATTCTGAAAAATTTGAACATCAAATAATGAACGATTAACATGCATGTTGTGTTGAAAATTCTCTGATATAAAATTCTTGTTGCAATCTTCTTTGAAGTTATAAGAATTTGTTTCTTTGATTGAAAATTGCTGGACGTGGTAGAAATATCCCCCAGCTTACCATATTTTCTTCTGTTTTGGTACTTTTATTTTAAAACATTATTCACCAATTTTCTCAAAACTCACTTTGATTTATGATTTCACAAATTTTCTCAAATTTCCTCCTTTGATTGATGATTGTTATGGTCTCACTTAATTTATTGTTGAATGGAAACTTATACCTGTACCTCATTTACCCCCTTTTCCGGGTCTAACTGCGCTTGAGATGGATACATTCTGCAAATCTTGGACGCTAGAAAAATAAAATTTCTTTATATGATGATGAGCGTTGAGGGTTCTTGGATTTTTTCTAAGTAGAAATTTTATTCATGTATATTTTTTAAAGGATTTGAGGATCTTGTTTTCATATCATCCATTTGAGAAACTAGTTTTCCACTCAAATGCGTGAGTATGATCTATGCTCTTCTTTGATTACTGGTTAGTGGAAGTGTGATGTAGGTGTTATAATTAGTATGGAAACCTGTTTGAGACGTCTCTGGAATTTTATGAAATGCTGGCTCTCTACCTTTGTTTATGTAAAAAAGGGATTTTGAAATGGCTTTGTACATTAGAATTTCGAAAATTGAGATTTTAAATTGTTTTATTGCAGTTTGGATTTTTCAAAATTATTGAGACTACTTTCTCAAAATTCATATGTTAATAAATTTATTTGATATTTTTGTTTCTTCTTTTTCTCTTTTGGGGAAAGTTTTGTTGGAACCGTGGATCATGTACTTAAATTGGTTAGATAAATTGAGCTGGTACCATATGATATTTAATTATGAAAAATGTTTGGTTCCTGAACTCAAGCATAGAGAAAACAATTGGAGGCTTAGAGCATAATCTTGGTGTTGCATGCTAGGTAATTTGTACCTCCCTGACTAGTTGATACCCATCAAAAGAAATGGAGGTGTGTTATATAACTTGGGTTGAGTGATAACCCAATTATGATGTCCATATAACTTATTGAAAATGTGAAATGGTATACTTGAATTGCTCCAATTCATGGACTATGCTTGTGTGAAGAGAAGTGCCTTTGAATCAATTCTGTTTTCTCTTTAATTTCTTTGAATCAAAATAAAGCTTATATTAAATTAGGGATGAAATTGAAAAGAATTTAAAAAATTAATGAGTTAAGTAATAATTTACTCAATTTATTATTGAGCTATATGTTCATCTAATATAAATAGTGAAATTAATAGTTATGATGTGTAAATATATATTTTCTTTGATCCTTTTAATAAGTGTTTTGTAATTTTCATGAAGTATTTATTATATATATTTTTATTTGTTCTTAATAAATAAATTAAAATCAACCAAGGTGAATATTTCAAATGAAGTTAGGGACAATGGTATTAAATGAGGGTAAATGATCATGTTATAACAATTTAAAAAATTAAAAAATTAACTAATTTTAACTATTTTTATTAGGTTGTGTAATTTTATTGAAGAGACTAGAGGGAGTATTTCAGTGTATATTTCAATGATGTCTATATTTTATTAAATTCTATACAATCTTATATTTCAACTATTGATTTAAGTTGTCTTATAAAAAGAAAGTTATTGTTTACTGTTAGGGTTTTCTTGAATAAGTAATGTTAAATGATTGTGATGGCTGAATAAGCAAGACAAGCAAAAGAAAGAAAAAGAAAAAATAAATAAATTCTAACTTGTGGAAGCTGTTCAGGCTAAATCTGGAATTATGGATTTGCATATTTGCATATGCCAACATTAATATTCTGATCCATCTTGAAATTGTTCAAGATCAAGAATGTTTCTGGAATTCAAATTTTGATTGGGCTTTGCTAGATGTCCATGACTTGCACGCATTATATCATTCATGAATTTCATTATTCTATTAATTATTTTATTATTTATTATAAAAATAATAAAAAATGAAGAAAATAAAGTTGATAAAGTATATAAAGAAAAACAAGGAAGGAATAATGTGGAAATGTAAAACAATGTTGCTTTGGAATATAGAAGTGGTTGTTGAATTGATTGCTTTGAAGAGTTGGTCTTGCAAAGGAGGGGTATTGACCAATGACAACTGAGATTATGCCATGGGATAATGGGATCATGTTCATGCCTGCACGCATCCATGTGCTGTCACCACAACTTGCAATGTGCCACTTCCTTTCATTTTTATGTATATAGATATAGATACCCTTTGATTTTCCACTCAAATCTATAAAATAAAACATTCTTCTTCCTTAAACAATCAATTAGGTAAATCTTATGAAATAAAAAAAATTATAAAGCAGATTAAGTATAACCATTGAGCTTTAATACTGTTTTATTAGTACTTCTAGTCAAACTACAAATAAACGATTGATCTTTATATGGTTTTTAAAGGCCTTAATTTTTTTAGTCCATCACATGATTAGTATTTTTCTTTTTAAATGCTCAGATGACACATTTGAATTTGTCACTGGGCTCAAAATTAAACATCTTCCACATGCAGAAGTGGAAAGAAAGGCTAAGACCAAAAATTAACAAAAGAAGAAGATAAATTAGGCCTAATTTGGTCCTTTAATAACAAATATAAGATCATCAAATAAAACAATAGAGCTAATTATTTTTATCCAAAAATTATGAAGGATTTTGTGTACAAGATATTGGTAGCATGAAGCTTGAAGAAAATGTAAAGCATTTTTTTTTCAATCCTCCTTTAGATTTTATTGGTTAAAGATAGATATAATAATATTCGTTTGATGTGTCAAAATACTTATGATTGTGATATACTGTTAATGATCATATTAATTATCAACATGTCTCTCTATGGGCATCAAAAACCACCCAACTACTCCCATGATCATATTGTAGGCAATATAGATTCTCCAATTATTTGTACCTAAAACGTGCAAACCAAAGTGAAAAGAGTGATTTAGATCTTGCCCGTAGCTTTGCCAAAGGAAAAATTAAGGTTTGCTTAGTATTAAATAGAATACTTTTTTGTTGTTCCTTTTAATTTTATAAGAATATTTTTAAAGATAAGGATTGATTAATTTTATAAAGGTGTAAATTAGATTTATTGTTAAATCATTTAATATTTTTATTAAATAAGTTTGTTTTAAATTTCGCTGTTGAATTTTAAAAATTTATCATATCAATTATATCAATAAAATTTTATATTA